TATAAACATTCTAAAGAATACATATATAAAGTTATAGAATGTTTATAGAAATAAATCAGAATTCTATAGAGTTTCTATAGGTTGATTCTATGTAATTTTCTAAAAGCTGACCTATAGAGTTTCTGTAGAAAATCTATAGGAATTCAAATTATGTCTTAATAGAATTCTATTAAAACTCTATATGGTTCTTTAGAAAGTTGATAGAAACTCTAAAGAATATTTTTAGAACCTGAACAAAACAATCATCTACTGTATAGAGTTTCTTTAGAACTTTATTATAGATGTACAGAATTCCAACTTTCAAAAAACTTTCTTTTAATAAAATGTCTTTAGGCCTATATAAAATATCTAGATTAACTTGTTGCAATGCCACTTTTTCTCTTCTCTTGCTTATTCCAATTGTATTGAACAGCCAGTTATGAAGTATTTATTTATAACAATCATCTAAAACTTTATTGATATTACTTCAGATCATCACTGACAATGTTCTTGAAATCAGTTGCCATATCTTTCAACTTGATCAACATAGAAACTTTTACCGCTGCAGCACGTCTGAGAAGATATAATTAGATTAATAGATTATAGATTTGGGGAAATTTATTATAAAAATGTAATAAAATAAACATGCAAAACTACTTTATGGCTAGGACTAAGTCTTATGACTAGCCTAGGCCTAGGGCCTAGAGGTGAAGTATAGTGTATAATAAAATAGAGACACTTACTAAAACATATCCCATATACCATAAGTTGAAAAGTTGCACTGAGACTGCCAGTGTGAAAACATCACTGACCGTGGAGCTATCACTTGACACGGGTTTGGTAGTTGGCTAGAAGCCCAGCCAGTTGGCTAGGGTTTACCTATGACTAGGCCCTAGGCCTAGCATAGGCTAGGGCCTGCCTAGGCTGAGGTACCTTCATTTTCTTCCTTGCAAAACAATATGAATGATGATTGTGAAACATAATACCGGGTTTCGAGTACATATAGTTCGTTTTCAAGCCATTAATTAACAGAAATGGTATCGCAACAAACTTGGTCATGCGTTTTGTAATTCGACCATCTCCTACACACGTATGTACTGGCCTGTACCTCTGATATTCAAAGGCCGCTTACAGCCTATTATTTTATTGTTTAGTGGCGCGCTCACTCGCTTGTTGTTGTGCCTACATGGGATATCAGTGCGCCATATTCTGCACGTAGTGAGACTCTCAGAGTCAGCTAAATTATAAACATATAGATTAGAATACAAAAGAGGCCCATGGAAAATAACATTTAATAACGGTGGTCCTAAATATCAAGATTAAAACATTTCATCTTCTTACAAAAAGGCTGATTTTAGAAAGCTTTCGAACTTTGTTTTCTCGTTTTTTTACGTGAAACGCGATGTGTTTGTTGTTTGGTTCAGAGCTACCTAATTAGCATATTCATGCTCTATTTTGATTGCTAGAAACATCAGGGAAATGGATTTATGTTTTGTGATAAAGTGCAGGCAGATGATTTTGATAAAATCCAGATAATTTTAATATTGAAGAGTTGTTTATAATATTTTCATAAATTTATAAAGTAACATTCAATACAATACGGCATTTACATAGGCCTATTATTTCCTATGAAATCTGTCAACACGTTCTGTAAATCGTATATAGAATATGTATAGAATTCTGATAGAAATCCCCAATTACGATGTAAAAAAATTAATTCTATAAAAATCCATTTATAATTTTATAGAAATTGTATTATACATTCTATACATTTATCTGTTTAATTTCTAACGACTTTCTGAACAATTTATCAAAAATCGTTCAAAATTAAATAGAAAATATAACGAGAATTCTATAGGATTTTTCTAAAAGAAAAATATGAAATTCTGTAGACACTATATTTAAAAAATCGAAAGAGAAAATATATAATTAAGTCTATAAATTGTATAGAATTTAAATAGAATTCTTTCTATAACATAATTTTCTAAGCATTTCTCTATATAATTATATTTCTATAGAACTATCTCTATAGAGAATGGATGGGGTCTTATATAGAGAAAACATCTTGGATCAATTTCCTATAGAATTATATTTCTATAGAACTATCTCTATAGAAAATGGATGGGTCTTATATAGAGAAAAAATCTTGGATCAATTTTCTATAGAATTATATTTGTATAGAATTATCTCTATAGAGAATGGATGGGTCTTATATAGAGAAGAAAATCTTGGATCAATTTTCTATAGAATTATATTTCTATAGAACTATCTCTATAGAGAATGGATAGGTTTTATATAGAGAAATAATTCATTGATCCAATTTTCTATAGAAGTCTATAAAAACTCATAAATGTCTATAGACTTTCTATAGAATTCTATAAAACATTTTACTACGGGTATACATGCGAAGCACGGGCCAGAAGTGGGGTTTGGAGGGGGCGACAGTGTTTGAGTTTTTTGTTTGCAATTGCTGGACCATAGACACTGTTGCATGGAATAAAAATCGAAAGTTAGCTTGTGAAATCTTTCACCTTCTTTTCTTCTCTTCTCTCATTTAGGGGCCCTAGCTCCCATGGACCCTTGGATCCATCCCTGTAGATGTGTTTTTAACTTTTTATCATAGGAGTATAATATGTTACTATTGTTGAACGGTTCTTTCTCTAAAGGAAGCTTACTCAAAGAATACATTCACCCATACTAAATCACCACGGTTCATTTTTCTCTCTAAAGATATTGACGAATGTGCACTGGTGGATTACCCATGTGATGATAACGCAGACTGCACCGACACCGATGGCTATTTCATTTGTCAATGTACCGACGGTTATGAAGGAGACGGAAATACTTGTCAAGGTTAATTATCTATGCCAAAAACACTGTCAAGTTTTATAATAATGTCATATATGGGCATATCACACTTCTAGCGGTGATAAAGCAGTACATTTCATTTTCAATTCATTTTATTTTTAAGGAGACGGAAATACTTGTCAAGGTTAATTATCTATGCCAAAAACACTGTCAAGTTTTATAATAATGTCATATATGGGCATATCACACTTCTAGCGGTGATAAAGCAGTACATTTCATTTTCATTTCATTTTATTTCACACAATGCAAAAATACATTATAAAATTCTTCTGGAAAGTAAATAAATATCAAGGACAATATAATATAATAATGTAAGTAATAATAGCAAATTGGTAATAAAAAATTACAATAAATAGCAAAAGTTGAAGATAATATTAATAATAATAATAATATTAATAATAAAAACAAACAAAAAACAAATAACGTTGTGTAAGGAGGGCACATTAAGCCATTATGGTTTTAAGACTGTGCCTTCAATTGACAAAATAAGAAAAAAAAAAAGCAAACAGGCAATGGTAAAGACATTAAACTTCAATGCATTCAAACAAGTTAAAAAAAGAAGAGAATTTAAATATTAAAAATAAAATAGAAATTAAAAATTAATATAATTTTAATTAAATGAAAGAAAAAGTTTAGCAAAATGGATAATATATAGTAGATAAAAATAGTAAACATAATAAACGATAAAAGAACTAGTGAAGCCTGGTTTCCTTAAAATCGTTTCACTGTCGCACAGTGTTTCTCAGTGCAATCGGGGTACTGCGTACCAGTCCCCAACACAATTTGGAAGGCTCCCAAATTCGACCCACCATTCAGTTTTCGGCGATAGCGTGTAGTGATTGTATGGAAACTAAGCTTTCGCTGATTATATAGGATGAAACAAATATCCATATAACATTGGTGACCTGCCAATTTAAGGCTCTGCAAAGGAAAATACGAAACTTAATACGAAAATTATTTCGTATTATTATTATTTTATTTATTTATTTATTAAAAACGTATTTATACAGTATACAATTCCATACAAGATGTAACAGTCTGTTTTTTTAATGGCCCTGTTTAAAACAATTGTCATAAAATACAGGCCTAAACACGAATATAATAAGAAAGTTCAGCAGTCAAACATTACAAAACCCTTAACAACAAACTCAAAATTTGAAAATCAGTTCAATTTATAATTAGCAAGGATTTTTTTTAGCTGTAAAATTCAAGTGAAGTTAATAACTTACAAGAATGCGAGCATCGTCATAGCCATTATATCCTTAACCAAATGTGTGAACCCCTTCTGTAGATGTTGTACCCAGAACCAGAAATATGACAGGATTTTAGTCATAATCATTCATATAATTCATAAAAACGTTTATTTAATTATTTTCATAACATCCTTGTCATTATCTAGATATTGACGAATGTGCTCGTTCACTTCATACATGCGACATCCACGCTGACTGTATTAACGCCCAAGGTTCACATATGTGTGTCTGTGTTTCTGGATGGACTGGTAACGGAACGTTTTGCCAAGATTTAGACGAATGTGCGAATGAGCCGTGTGCCAGCACTAGATATATATGCGAAAACACACCTGGTAGCTTTGTTTGCAATTGTCCTATTGGCTACTTTGGGGATGGATCATCATGCATAGGTTAGAAAGATTTTATGTCTTCTGAAGAATTTATTATCTGTGAGTGCTCACAGATACTTTTTCTATATTCTTATCTACCACTTTTCTGCCAGTTTCTGAAATAATTTTAGTAGCAAATCGCCTCTATATTCACGCATTCAAACATATACTATTCGCTCTCACTGATACGTGTATTACAGGGCGTTTAGTTTAGTCAAGAGTAAATCTTAGAGCGAGCTGTCTATTAACTTATACAGATTCCAGATTTGTTATTGTAGCAGAAACAGATTGGTACCCTTTAAAAAAAACATAATGTGTATATTATTAAATTGTATAGTAGGCCTACATTAGCAGATTTTGTGTAGTGCAGTACAGATTAAATATCACTAGTTAAATGGTGCATCGTTTCTTTGAAACACTTTCATTAAATTAAACCTATTAACTATGTACAGACATTGATGAATGTAGCAGCGGTACTCATAACTGCTCTGATACAGAAACCTGCTCTAATATCAACGGTGGATTCGAATGTCCATGGAGAGAAGGCTACAACTTGACAGATGGAGCATGCAAAGGTATGCTATTTGAAATAATACCGAATCTTCCCTTGTAAACTTTATATATAAATATTTATATATAGAAATTGTACACTGTAGAAGAATCTGCGATTGTGAAAATATAACCCTAACTGTCATTCAAATCTGGTTCTTTTGTTGTTAATGAAACCACCCTGGTCATTTGCTGTCTATGCAGATACCTAGGTCACTAGGCCTCCGTTAATAATTCTAGAAGCAACAGAGTTTGCATTATTTTGCACATGCACAGAACAGCACTATTTCTTGATTGAGTCATATGCAAAAATATAGACGTAAGTATAACATTTGGCCTACCGTACCGCTACACTTACATTATTGTGAATGAAGTGTTCCAAATTATAAAATGACCATAGCCATTACATGTAAAACAACCAATAATAAAAGTAAATTGTGTGAAGTGTGTGCAACATAGGCTAATTTTTCCAACTGACAAGAATAATAAAAATATGCAAACAACCGACATATTGATGATGATTTATTCAGAATAAGAAGAACTAATCATAATTATATTAAATATATTATAATCAAATACATAATTCTATTTAGATATCAATGAATGTGCCGCTGTTGATCCATGTGATGTGAATGCAGACTGTGAAAACACCATTGGAAGTTTTATGTGCACGTGCCATTCCGGATTCATGTTAAGTGGAAATGGCTGCCAAGGCAAGTACGCAATGTGTCATAGCAAGGCAGTTTTTAAATTATAAAAGAAGCAAATACTATTTTGTTAAGCATATTTTATCAACATGTAATAGGCTTAAAAACCAACTCAAAAAAGTTGTTTTTAAGCCAAAAGATGTCATAAACAAACTTTCTTAATTTGTTTTAAGCTGAACATTTTAAAAATGTCACTTGAACTTGAATGATTAAATTGTGTACAAAATTGTTGCTTATAATTGCTAACAGATAGTTATTATATGTTTTAATATTTTGATATTTGTAATTAAAATATTTTGAATTGGTAGTTTCCTGTTTCTAATTTCTGGCATGTCCATTAGTTAAGGGATTGGCATAAAATGGGTTGGAGAGCCGCATTGAATTTTGATTTAACACTGAGGGCCACAATTATATGGTATACGGTGAACATTTTTCGTTTCCGTTGTACTTGTAAAAACCTTTATGATTGGGTTTTTTTATACCGTTATATACTCACTTTAATTATTACTTTACAAAGATGATCGAAGGCGGGCCGCACACTATGGTTTTAAATTTAGTGTCTGCAATACAATTACCGTCGGGTCGCATGTTGCCTGGTGCCGCATTTTCTGTGATTTATTCAATAGAAAACGAAAATTAAACAGTTGTTTTACTTTAATCGTAGATATGAATGAATGTGAACTAACCATCGATGACTGTGAGCAATTGTGTAACAATACAATTGGAGGCTATAATTGTTATTGTAACGATAACTATGACTTAAGTGAAGACAACATATCTTGTCAACGTAAGTTCTCATATATTTTTCCTTAAAAACAAACACATATTAAATTACTCTTATAATAAAACTGCGTGGAGCATTTGTTTGAAGGCAGTTTGCGTCAAGGAGGTTTATGCTTTATTTAAATTTATATCATGCAGTGCTGTTGCCAGTTGTTGGCCTCTTGAAATAAAACAATTCTCATGCTGGAACTAGACCAGCATAGCAAATACGGGTAGGCCTGGTTTGCATAATACCATTTGAAACGTTGTCACAGTGCTCAGGTCAACTCAAATTTAGCATCAGTACTAAATACTTTGTGATTCCTAACTAATTTTATGACTTTTTAAGCTTTTATGAGAGTGGTCAACATGGTACCATTGCTTTCTTTTGTTAATATTATCTGCAAATCGTACGGAATAGTTGACTTATCCATTATTGATTGATTGTACTTACTTTAGCTAATGGTAAAAAATTTATGTTTAAAAATTATTAACGTACTGTGCAAGCAATTTTGAATCTAAACTACTTCAAAATTATATCAAACATATTTTAATCATTTTGACCTGTACGTTTATTGTTATTCCAGCCGTAAATGGTTCTGAATGTGTTACTGATCCGTGTGTGAACGCATTCTGCTCAATGAAAGGTGCTGCTCATGAATGTCTGTGTAAACCAGGATATACATCGATCGATGGAAACACCACCCATTGTCAAAGTAAGTAAACTGGTAACTTAGTTTAATTTGGATTTTATGAATGGCTCTTGGCAAACATTCCAATGACCTAATTCAGAACTGGCTGCATTTACAATTTATGC